ATTTAATAGATTCTGGTTTAGGAGATGTTGCTGATTCACTGGCAAGGAGATAGGCAGAGAATTGAGGAGGTTTTGATTCAAGGAGTGTGGAAGGCTGTTGTTTGAAGCGCTGCTCTGCGGGAAATGAAGGGAGTGTTCGTGAGCGGCGAAGGGGAAATCGCTCCCGACGGGCAGCTGGCCCTGCAGCGCGCTCCCCGCCGCGGTGGTGACGATAACGCCGTCCTGCAGAACGGACGTGGTCTTGGTGATGGCGGGTTGGCTGGTGCCAGCTATGGCTATGGACGATGACGGTCCCGAAACCCCTGCAACGCAAAAACACAAAACACATGAACAGGACGCTGCCTTCTGGGAGACGCTCGTCAAAGTCACAAGGTAACTTGGGTTAATCCAAGAGTCGTGTTTGAAACTTGTGCATGGGAAAGAAAACACTTTGAGCATCCGGATTTCAGCATTTTTCAGAAATGAAGGAATTTGCAATGAATTAGTTCAGCTACTAGATACCGAGCCACACCTCATCGGAAATTATGTAGCTATATACTTGTATTTCCCTTAAATTGCCTGAACAGCAGCAGGAGTTCATTTATTATACTTTTTTATTAGTGTGAACCTGAAAGTAACTGTAACAATATCATCAGCCAGGGACCAATGCGAACTGAACTGCAAGGACGAAGGATCCATTGGAGACATGGAGGGTGCCCAGGGAAGTGTCCTCCCACATTACTTGTGTAGAAATTACATTATTTGTGTAGAAAAACCACGAGTAACTGGAGTGGCCTAATCACATCCGTCACTTGGCATGGAAGGAAGGCCCAAGTCTTGGTAACTAGATGGATTCACTGTGAGGGTGTTCCCCAAATAAGCATCATTATTCTTCCCCCATTTCCATGTATCTTAACACCACTTTGACCGAAGTTAAAGTCTCAAATAAATTATGCATTTCCTCTTAATTGAGGGAGAGGGCTGAAGTGACAGTGATCACACACAAAGCAAACACGCCGGGGGACAAGGAGAATTAAAGCAAACAAATTACCTTGAGCGATGCCTTTCTGCTTTACGCATCGCATTAGAGAATGAGCATACATTAAAAATACATATTAAAACAAACTCCGTTTTTGATGCTGTGTAACTATTTTCCATTCCAAACTGCCTGTATGCATAGCTAGTATGAGGAAGTGCCACAGGTAGCAAGTGTTTTTCTACAGAAACACTATTCAAAAAGTTATATGCCACTAACTGGTAAGTAGGGCAAAGTGCTGACAGCTCAAGAAGACATGAAAATGAAGACTGCTACAGAACGGAGGGAATCCCTTTCCACGTGCATTGCCAACATGATTTATTCCTAACACACAACTGAAAAACCTGGTTATCCAAATTCGGCTACACAAATCCCCTAGACATTTCAACTAAAATATAACTCATTTTTTCCTTTTTTTAATGTTAAACTAATATTTGAAATATTTTAAATTACATTTTCCAAAAAGGAATGCAATATTTTTTCAGGTCTTGGTGGAAAAAGGCAAGTTCCTCTCACGACAGAGCCACCCCTGTTTCTAGCAGTTTCTGTCTCCTCCGCGGCGCTGCGTTCAGCACCCGCCGGGCAGCGCCCAGAACTGCTCTCGCTCACAAAGAAAAGCTTTATTTTTATTTATCTATTTATTTTTATTTATCCATTTATTTTTAAGACTATTCAGAGCTCATGCCCTGAGGATTTACGTGCAAGTCCCAAAGAGGAAACCGCAGATTTAAGAGATACAAGAGCAAACAGCAATTCTTCACTTTTTTTTAGGAACTCTTCCTCCCGCAATAGGGAGAAGCTGATACACACAAGTCTTTTCCTCGGCGGACAGGGAAGCCTTCCCTAGAGGAAGGTTCATTCACTGTTTCCAGCAGCACACGGGTAGATCTTTAATTCAGGTCTAAGCAAGTATTCTCTATTTAGTGCTTACGAATAAAAAACCTCACTCAGGGTTTTTTGAGTGGACTAATCTGTTTCTAACCTATTTATGATTGTATTTCCCATTCCAGTCAGGTAAATGATCACACTGAAGAGTTTATCTCAGAACTGTAAAACTGTTGCTTATTTTTTTGCTGAAAAAACAGTCTATTTCCTATCCCCCATTAAGGCCTACTTCCAGAAGCCCAACCTGAGCGGCCTACAGTGTCTTCAAGGCCTGCCCTTCCTCCAGCGTAACGAGGCAATTAATTAATTGCTACTGGGAGAAAGAAAATCTTGATGGAACTGAGTAGTAGGAAGGCAATGTTTATTTCAATCCAGACGTGAGAAATGAGAGATTTAAAGACTGTTTTTGGGAAGCGAGGAGCTGCTGCCCCTCGTGGACCTGCCTCCCAGCACGACGCAGCAAGAATCGGGAGGGAGAAGTTGTGGAGACCTGGGAGGTTCTGCAGCTCCTACGCTCGTCACAACTGCATTCCAGAACACATCTATCGGCACCGACACACGGCCGTGGCAGGATGCAATTTATGAATCTCTTCCCAAACATCATCGCTAACAAGTCGATATTCCAGATGGAGAAACACATGCAAACCCATTTGCATTAAAATACAGCGCTGCTAGACATCTTTTCAATTCTTTACCACAGCCCAAAAGACAACATACTGAATTGTTTATTATTTTCCTTATAAAACACATATAATTTTGGAAATTTCTGAGACAAGGTGCAAAACGCTGCCCTCCCTGGGAAGAAGCGAGCAGCTCTTGGGAGAAACCTCTGAACTGCCTTTCCCTCCAGTTTCAAGACAAAATCTATTGAGATGCAGCGTGGAGCGGAGCAGTTTCATCGTGTTGACTCTTGAGGAGATTGGGTATGAAAGCGATGCCCACTTTTTGTTCAAAGGAGTATCTTGGACCGTACATGATCTTGAGGCCACCTGCATCTCCTTTGGGCCCCCAAAAGGACGGAGTGAAGAGGAGTGGAGGCCCCGCAGCACCAGCCGTTCCCTCACATGCCCTACCTGGACCTCACGGTGACGGCCAGTGTTTTAAAGAGAAATGTGAAAGGGAGGCGAAAGCCAAGAGGAAAGCCCAAGTTTTACTGCATGTTTTGTGGAAACATGACATTTGGCATCCTAAGGCACCCGAAATGCTATTATCTCAGGAAAAAAAGTCCTCAATAATGAGAAGTTCTTAGAGCAAAAGCAGAATGAAAAAAGATGAAGGAGTTAGAAGTAAAGAAAGGCGAGGACGAATCCAGGCTCCCCAACCTTGCAGGCACAGAGGTCTGCCAAGAGCTTTTACAGTCGCTGAAAGGAACTGCCTTTGCAGTGCTGGGACTAGAAGAGATATCCAGAGAGGCAAAAAATAAACCTAGTGGGTTGTGCTTTGTGACTGGCACTGGCTCCTCTTTCTGAAGAGCTGCTTGAGAGGTGTCCGTAAGCAGATGCACTAACATCGTACGTACCAGGAAATCACTTGGCTGTGTACTAGGAAATACAGCTCATATGTACTTTGAAATCAGGGAGATTCACTCTCTCTGCTCACTTTACATGAGTGGAAGGTATTTGTCACTCACATATCAGTGTTGCTTTCCCATGTAATGACATATATGTAACATATATGTAAGCAAACTACATCCTTATTTGCATTTTTCCCACAAAAAGAGTCCAAGCAGGACTAGTTTCACACATGCTACTCTGCCTTGGAAGTGCCTGTTTTTAACTGTTTAGTTTCAACTTAATGGCAAAATAAATACATTGCGGAATCGCATGGATGTTGGTATCCAAAACCAGCACCAGCTGAACAGGCCAAGTGCTGCATTTGCAACATAGGTCTGGAACTCCCTCGGGTTGCTACCCCTTGCTAAGGCTGCCGAGAAAACCTGAGAAAGGAGAAAGTTCCTACCCTAGTATTTATTTTTTAGTAAAGTATCTTTAAGAAACGACAATTAGAACTACATTTTACTTAGGTCAGTAAGTAAGCTCCAGGGAGGTGGAGAAGGCAGAGCTCCCTAGTTTCCTTCCTAGTTCTAAGGTCCTGTGAGCTCATGAGTGGGGAGAGGGGAAACCGTACCCAAAGCTTCCCAATTTCTCAAGAATTTCTGCAGCCGCAGGAGGACTCTGTCTGCATGAAATCACACGGGAGCACCCAGAGCTCTGCGTGCAGTGAGGAATGAGCAACTTCCCTGAAAACCAGACAGCCCAAACTGAAAGCAAATTGCTGTGGCCTTCCCAGGCACCGAACGCATTGGCGCAAAGTTAAAGGACACAAACTGCGCTGTATTTCTGCAATAAAACACAAAATTGCAATTCCAATATACCAGTTAGAAGGTGGTAATGCGAAGAACTTTTTACAGTACATTTCTCTAAGTAAGTAAACTACCCGTTATGCATCCTAACCTTTCACAAGTCTGAACGTTGCACTGATGGAACTGGTATTCCATCAGGCATTTAGGAAATTAAAAGTGCTCACACAAAATTGTGCTTTTCCTTTCAGGAAAGCACTTTGAAAATCAAAACTCGTAAATTAAAATGAATAAAGAAATAAACAACTCCTCCTGCCGCCCGCCAAACAACACTGGCTGCATCCTGCTGTAATTCGGGGAGGACTTGCTCCAGATTGTTAAGACATTAATACAGAAAGCATTTTAAGAGCTTAAAAACAAATAAATCTTGTATACACTACTTTTAAAATCTGTGAATCCTTACAATTCTGCATCCTAGACCCAAAATGCAGTCAGCACTATTTTACAGTTGATATTTTCTGCACTGCATGCTTAAGCTTAAAACGTTTCCTGGTCTGAAACCCTGACCAGGCTGACATTTAACTGCTGGGTCATACGGCGAGCTCCCTGCTGAAACCTCTGCCTTTCCCTCCTCTCCTGGAGCGGAACCCGGCAGCTCTGGCAGAGGGAACCCAGCAGATTCCCTGGAGCAGACCCGGGAACCCGGAGCGCCCCGGCCAGGCACAGCCCGTCCTGGTCACCGCGGGGCGGCACCGTCGGACGGGCCTCACCTGCAACCAGCCCACGGGGAAACTCCAGCCCAGCGGATCATCCTAAGGAAAAAAACCATCCGGGAACACAGCACGGCCTCTGCCAACTGCTCAGAAGGGACGTAACCAAGACCCAGGCTTTCCAATCTTTTGTGGAAGGGCAAAAAGCCCGAAGCACCTTCTATGACAATGCTTAAAATGAGGTGATTAAGATTATTTTCAGAAGATGTGGAGAGCCAACTATGTATAGGAAATCTGGTATTTTATTAATTCACGTTTTCACCATGATCATGATCTTTGCAAAAACAGGACCCATCTTTCTGCACTTTCTTTAATAAATCTTCTGATTTTTATTAATAGAAATTCCCGTAAATGGGCACGGCAGCCAAAATACACACTGACCTGACAGGAGCCTGGGTAGACACAGGTGTAGATTACTGGGAGTGGCAAATTCAAATGAAAAACAATACAAAATAAAATAGAATAGAATAAAATAATAAAATAATAAAATAAAAGGAGCCATGTGTAAAACACATCAGGTGCTGAGCATAGTGGACCTGTATTCATAAATACAGGTAATTAGAAAACTCTATTCCACTGCTAAATTTTTCACCTACTGCAAACATGATGGCAGCAGGTAAGTTTGCACCAACTGCATAAGGGTCTGCCACACGTTGGCTATTACGGCTGCAGATAATGTGATCTCTGATGACTATTAGGGCAATAATTCCTTTATGCTGAGAGATGAGGGCGGGTTTGTGTTCTCCTATCAAGAGTGAGAAGAGCAGATTGTCAGGATGTCCAACGACACCAGCGAGACGACCACCACACAGGTTGTCCCCTGGATATCCTAGACTTCATAGCAAACGTTTCCCCTATTCTTTAGAGTCCTCATTTGAATAAGAAATGAATGCCTTTTTTTTCCTTCCTAAAACAGTCATATTGGCCCACAAGTGAATATTAAAAAAGTGGCGCTAAGTTTCAACTACCAGTAACTCCTTATAATTGTAATTTTTGTTGTCCCTGAGCAAAAGTCTCTCTGTAAATTTAAACAAATGGAAGAACAAAAATCAATAGAGCGCTGCAATCTGCTTTGCAATTAGGAGAGCACCTCGCTGGCATCCTGTCTGGGGGGATTGAAATGGAATAGGAGGCTTCTCCAGACAACACAAGTCTCCAGCAGGCTGCCAGCCAGCCACTCTTCCAATTGCAAAGTGTCATGAAAAGTTCTACTCATTTTATATTTCAGTGACCTGCAGGAGTAATTTGGGGGAGCAAATCCAAAGGGCACATGTATTCAAATAGGGCACGCTGGACAAGCTGAGTGGTTTGCACCATGATGTAAACTTTGACCATACTGTTATGTTGAGTATTTTCTAGAACAGCCTATTTTGTTTGAAGGAAGACAATTTTCAGAGAACCAAGGACCCACGCTATGCTGAAGGTTACTACTATATCCAATAGTACATCTAACCAAAACTTCGGATTAGAATTTATGCTTCAGTTTCCAAAAATCATCAAAATATGGGAATGGTTACAGCACCTCATCCCTTCTACGTGCCTCCAAACCTAAAGCACTTCTATTCCTGACACTCCTGGGAGATCAGGAAGGATACTTACCCCCAACTTAAAACCAGGAAAGAGAGAGGAATAGAGGCTTGGCAGAAGTTAACACGGGATCGATGCTGTTCACATCATGCTTCCAAAGACCTGCTTAACCTCTCTATATTTTTTCCTGACAATTTGCATTAAAGCTGTTAAATCAAAGACTCCCTTGAGTTGCTGTGTTCCAAGATAATGTTCCACGCTCAATTCCGCATTCCCAATCCTACTGCACTATACTTGGCTGCATTAACATGGGCTTTGCCTGAGTGGGAAAGAAACTCCTAAGTGGTCACATATGCTCCTCCTTATTTAATTGTATCTTACTGTTCTTCTAATCTCTAAGTTTCACCACTAAAATTTTAGTATCCTGGATCCATGATAGCCTCAAGACATTTTTTGTCCCAATATGTATCTGTCCTTTATTTGTCACTACTAAACTTCTAGACCTGGAGCTCCTTATATTTCTGATTCTCAGATATTTGAGATATCTTATTATCTTTAATCCTGTTAGCTATGGTTATTAGATTAGTTCCCTCGGTTTCCCTTATCAACTTTATTTCCAAACGTTTTTTCCGTGTCTTTGCCTTTATGCACTGTGCGTTCCTCGAACGTCGCCTGCACTCAATCTCCTCCATGAAACTGGGCTCTTTGCAAACAAAGAGCCCTAAATAATCCATATAGATTTGCTGCCACTTCCTCCTTTCAGGCAGCTGTTACTAAAGAGCATTTGCAACACAAATGTGGTAGACCTGACAGCTGGAAAGTTAATAAAAAAATAAAAAGTTAACAGAAATGCAACTGGTGTTCAAGTGCTGAAACTAGGAACATCCCAGAAACCCTCTACCACATAAACATGAAAACTTTATTTCAACATGTATTTCATTTCTAATTCTATCACACTCATACAGACAATTACCTGGAAACTAAAGATACTATCTGCAAATGAAGGCAACACAAGCTAGAACAACAAAGCAGGGTTCTCGTCGTTAAAGCATAATTAAAAGCCCAGGCAATAACCAGCTAATTGTGGTGATTCTCAGTAACCCCCTGTGCACGGGGTTATCCTGAGCTGCGGGGCTGGCGCAGGAACGAGCAGCACCAGGAAGAACCCGTGTTTGGATTCTCTGTCCTTGGAAGCCCATTTCATGACCCTTAAGTAATGTTTTATTGATAATTCATAAATAATACACAAATTTTGTGCATCAGGTCCAGTCTCTATTTCCTGCAGGGATCTTGAAATCTTGAAATACTCTTTTTTTGTCAGCCCGGAAAGATGGAACCACTATGAAAGGGTTAATAGCTGCCTGCTTGTGATATAAACCACCAAAATATCTACAGGAAAAAAAAAAAGGCCTTTTTTACCAAAATGCAGAGAAACCACTAAAAGCCATTAGAAACTGTGGCCGGTATCATTTTAGAGAAATGATTTTGTTTGTCTATGCAAGTGGGTTCTGTATTTGGAGGCAGCCCTGGAAGAGGGTCAGGCTCTTCCCGGGCCGCCCCGCAGGTCCCCTTGCCCTGGTGCCCCTGACTGTGATTGTATCCAACAAATACATGGAAAGTTAACTGAGCTGCGGGCCTGAAATAAAAAATGGGCCTTTTTTTCTGCTTACGGAATTAATGCAGTATCACCGTACAAAAACATGTCCTTTGCTCAGGCAGCAGGAGCTAAATGAAATCCACCTTTCTGCGATGTCTCCCTTCTATGTTTAAACAGCACGAGGAGCGAGTGCTGCAAACCTGCTTCCTCTGGGAGCCTCGGTGATGAATAAACCAGGAAAGCTCATGATGCTCTTCCAACCAAATGCACAGTTTATTCAACCATCTAATTGCCAACGTAGTAAAATTATCACAAGCAAGGCAAACACAGGCTCAACATTCTCCCCGGCCCCCAGCCCCAAGCAAAGTTATTTTGCAAGTTTTTGTCCCCCTAATTATTTGCTCTGATCATCTAATCTCAGCACCCGGCTACCTCACACCAGTGGTAGAGAACACATAGCTGGCTGGGAATGGACCCTAACTAGTTGAAGGAGCAGGACAGGCAGCAAAAATGATCGATTTGGGCAGGTGTTTGAAGAAATGTGAGGCCTAAGTGTGTACAAACGCACGTGAATTTTATTTGTGAGGAGCGTGTGGAGTTAAGAGAAGCAAGGAGTGGGCATGGGGAAGAGGCCAGGATGTTTTTGTACAGGGAAAGGGACATAGATTTTAGTCTACCACTGTTTTTTCTTATTGGTTTTATTTCTGAGTATGCGGATATCAGCACGAAGTGCGAGTACTTTTTATATTTGTGAGTTCAGCTTTCAAAAGCAGATAAGCAGGAGGAATCCACTTAAAAACAGTCAAAATATATTTCCACACAGTCAAGCACACGGGTATCCCTTTAAAAGGAAACGTACCTGCTTCAGGACTGCTTTGATTACAGCTGCTAACGAGGCTGTTTGGGATCAGCGGCGCGGAGGAGGCCGGGATTCTTGGCGGAGGTGGGTTCGGATGCAGGGAGTTTCCTAAGGCGGCTCCTGCCTGGCTGAGCATCCCGCAGCTGCCGCCCGCCTGCATCTGGGTTATGAGGCCGGCCAGGTGCGGGGCCGAGCCCGGGCTGGCCCCGTGGATGAAGTTGGTGCTGGCGCCCTGGCAGTGCCCGCCGTCCCCGCGCAAGGGCAGCCCCGCGGCCAGGGCGTTCGGGAGGGCGCCCGGGTTCACGGCGGCGTCTGCAAAATGCATCTGGGCGCCCGAGCAAGGCAAAGCAGTGCTGGAGCTCCCACACGTGGTGGTACTATTGCTGCTCATGTGGGAGCTCTGACAGCTCATGGACTGCAGTAACTGGGACATCGAACTGATGGGAAATGAGCTTTGACTTTGCTTCCTTATCGAATCGGATCCAGCCTTGGAGACTCCAGAACTGTCCAGCTGAGACTGTCTCAGCAAGCTCAACACCGTGGTGGTCGGCTGCTTTCTTTTTCTCAGAGCGTCTTTTTGCTGAGACATCAGTTTGTCTCTCAGTGCTGCTCGGCCACTCTGCCCTTCGCTTGTTGGTAGGAGCACGTTGGCAGCAGGAGGGAACATGGTATTTAAAGTGCTGTGTCCTTCGTTGTTGCCACCGCTGGCAACAGGTCCAGAATTGCTACTGCTGTTATTGTTGTTACCAGCAAGTTTATTTTGATTTGCTAGCTGTGCTTTGGCTGCTGCTGAGAGTAAACTACTTGCTGGAAAAGAGGCAGCGTTGTGCTGGTTCAAGATCTGATTTAAAGGCATTCCCAGCAAACCCGGCTGACTCTTCAAGGAACCGCTTCCAGCCGATGCAGTGGGAAACACTGCATTGTTTGGAGGGTTTAATACATTACTCATTCCAGCAATTAATGGGTTAGGGATGTCCTTGTATTGATTGAGTCCATCGTGCTTGGTGGAAGGGCTGGATGGCATAGATGGCCTGGGTGACCCTATCGTTGACCGTGGGGACCTCGGGGGAACTTTAATACCACTGCAGGATGACTGTGGTCCCACCGGAGGCAGCAGGAAATTCCCATGATCCGAAGACGTGGAAGAAGAACGTGATCTTTGGGGAGAAGCCTCGATCCTCCCAAGCCCGGACCCCATCATGTGAACGGGGGACGTCACTGGGGAAGGAGAGAGGGAAGTTGAAGCCGAATGCTGAACTCGTTGAACGTGACTCCCGTGGTTCATGTGCCCGGGCTTTACGGTTGGCAAAGGGAGGTTGCTCGGCAGGGGGACGACGGCGGGGGGCATGCTTACATTCATCACGGGTACCTGAGAGTGGGCGTTCGCATGGAAGGGCGCTGGGTTCATGATCACGGGATTCTGATTCAGCGGTTTGCTAGGAATGGGGTCCAGGATGCCAAGCGGATCCTTCTCTGATGCCAATGGCTTTTTCTGAAGAGCACACGAAGGCGGAGGGGGAGGCGGGGGTGGGCCCTGGGGCGGTTTGTGGTGAAACATTGCTCGTGGGACTTCCATACCGGCTGAAAAACTACACATGGGCTTTTTCATTACCGGGCTTTTTGTGGTCAGGGTTGGGGAAAGAGGTATATTAGTCCGTCCAGCCATTGCACAGGATGACTGTATGGGAGAACCATGTAGCATTACTGATGGTGGAGATAAAGGTGTCCTGTTCATGTGAATAGGACTGGAGTTGGGTGCTCCGTGAAAACTGGGATTGCTCCTTGTGAAAACGTCAGGGCTTCCAAGTGGGTCAGTCCTAGGAGAGATGGAGCCATCTCCATATATCTGTGATCCTGATGATGCTGGACTGGGCATCCCACCATGACTGCCACGATATGGAGACTTCTGTCCCAGTTCATTACTACCCAATCTCTGCCTCGGATAGACAGAATGAAGTTCTTGTTGCTGGCTTCCAGCCATTTCTTGCACGTAAAGCCTACCCATGGCATTAGATGCCCCTATCATCAACTTGAAAGGAGTCTTACATTCTGGCATCACAGAATTTGTAATTCCTTCATGCGATTTATTCCTCATCGATCTTGGAGTTGCTGCTCGAGTAGGAACTACTGGAGTCGCACCTGTTATTAAAACCACAAAAGTAACCAATTAGAAATCTGAAATCACAGTCCAGTGCAAAACTACTGTGCATGAAAATAACTGGGAAAGCCAGAAAGCCTTTTAACTAAACTTCTAACCAGAAGTAATACCCAAATCATGGTGCACGCTCCCACAGTACACAGTGCAGTTGCCTATGTGTTAACTCCATATCCCATATAAACCCTGTGTGAACATGAACAAACTGCTTTAAATCTTGAGCGCTGTATGTTTCAAGCACGCTACTACTCATACAAAGTTATTTTAGCACAGTCCTTCCCAAACACAAATTCCTAGAAGGGCTTCCCTCTCCCCATTTTTCTTTTCTCTTCCCTCTGAGGACCATCTCCACGCTCTGCTCCCGAGTCCCGGGTGTCCCCATGTCCCCTCACACCAGCCGGATGAGCTGGCGGCAGGAGCGGGTTGTCCCTAGCACGGGGAAAAGGAGTCTCTGGCACCATCTATTGAGTATGGGAGGAAATAAGGGCCACACTGGCTCTTCCTCCTGCCTGGAGAGAGCAGGATCCTGCCCCAAACGCTGGGATGAGGATGGAGCCAGGCGCTGAGGCCCAGGTGCAAGGCGGGACGTGCCTTGATCTGCTCTTGCTAACTGCTTTCTGGAGAGGGGCCTTATGTAACATCCTTAATGCTCCTCTGCATCACGGCTTTTCCTGCAGCTTCTGCCACAGTTTTTGTGTGGGATCAGGTTATTCCATTTAAGAAGCGATTTTCTTGTTTGTTTTCAGCATAAAAGCCTTGGGGATATTTACATTTGTGCACATGTGAATCCTGTTCTCTATCATGAAAAACTTGCTGTAAATTCTGGTTTTGAGATCAGACAGGCCTACATGTACAAAGTCACTCAGTCCACTAACACTGCTTTTGTTTTCTAAAACTTTTATTCTTTCAGTATTTTACTCTAAGGATACCCTCACGAGCAGCTTCAAGGCTGGTGGACTTTCTGCCAGTTTTGCTGCTCGGGGAATTTGTAATTCAGATTTCAGTGGGAGCTTAGTAAGGGAAAAAATGAATGCATTCTTGGCACGCAGCCTGCGAATATGCAAAGCTAAATTCGAGTAATGAGCTAAAGATTGCATGTTCAAATGAATTCAGAGGTGCCTTTAAATTCCTGACGCACTGGAGCTCCAGTCCCCCCTTTCCTTCAGTCTGGCCTAGGAGACAGATGGCACCAACAATTCTCCCTTCATCCTATTTGCTCAGCCAGCTACATCAGGACAGAAACAAACTTAAGACCTTTCCCAAAATATAACCCAAGCCTCGTCCAGCGGGGAGAGCTCAGGACTGAGGTGCAAAATGAAATATGCACGAGAAGCCTCACCTTGAATGCTGAGCCCAAACAAAGTG